GCCAAATTCCAAGATGGATTTCCCAAAGGTCTACCCCAAGTTGGCCAGAGCTGCTTATAAGGCTGAATACCTTTTTTAAAAAAAGTTCTTTAATTTCTACTCTGGTGAGCCAGACACTGACTCCCTCTCATCCCGCCCCCTTAAATGCAAATACAAAGCTACAGTATGAAGTGGGGAGAACCAGACACACATTAGCCCATCCACTGTAAAGCCTCTGATTGAGACCAATTACCTAAACCAGCCCCACTTCATTTCCAGTCGAAAACCCACCACTAATGTCTGTTGGTTGCAGCCAGGGACTGATGAGGCAATCAGGAGGAAAAACAGATATAATAGACATGTAATCTCACAAAGGGTGCAGAGGGGAGGCTGGGGAAGGCAGTGGACGGGAGATGCTCATTTGCTGTCTGCAGACTCTGCCGGGCACTATGTTGGATACTTTGCAGCTTTCTCCAGTGACGGAGCAGAATATCATGCCCCAGCATGCGTGTTCACATGCATGTACACATACACACACACACACACACACACACACACACACACAGCGCCCCCAGAGAGATGCCTTGAATCAACCCACAAAACTGTATGCTTGGCTCCCCGTGCTGACTGCCAATCCATCAACTGCTCAGAGACACTCCTTGTTGGCTGTGGCCATTGTGAGATTGGCCATGTCCAAGTTGAAAGTGCTACTTTGAGTGCTCCCAAAGTTTTCAACCCTTGAGGTGCCATAATGGTCTTGGAACCTGGGCAGAGACAAGGAAGGGGCCCCTCTACCACTTTGCCACCTGGGCCTTACAGCTGACATCATTCCATCAGCTTCTGCTGGCAGCATCCTCCCTGCGAAGGGGCTCAAAATCAGTCCAAGGCACCTGGGCATGAACTTCCCACATTCCATCCTCTTCCAATAGTCTTCTTACCAGATCCCCCCTTTATTCTATTTCTCCCCTTTCTTGGTACTTAAACAAAAGCTCCCATGCGTTATGAACGGACAAAAATAGACACTGGCAAGGGGAAGCATTTTTAAAATAAAGCAGCAACATTCACTCGAGATGCCCAGTTGTGAATAGATTTCTTTGTTCGGCGTTAAATCCTATCCTGTTAGATAGGTATTACTTTATCCATTTTACAGATGAGCAGATGAAAGCAAAGACACAATAACTGGTTAATGGCACTTTCTGACCTAAAGCTGTATTCTTTCCACTCCATCAGATTGCCTCCATTTGCGTTAGATTTGCAGAATGTAGATCTCCCATTCAGACCGGGCGAGCTGCAGGCCGGCACAGGGAATGTGGTGTAGAGCTTCTGAAAGCTCCCCAGAGAGCTCAGATCTAGACGTCACCCCGAGGTGGCGAGCAGTCTGAGCCAACACAGGACGGACTCCCTTCTGAGGCCATAACTCATGGGCTGATTTAGATAGAGAAAAGTGTTTCCTCAAGAGAGTCAATGTGTTTTCAAAATGAACTGCCATCTCGCTGTCTATTCTGCATGGTATTTTATAACTATCTATCTTTGATAACAGAATGCTACAATTAAGGTGAAATCCACATATGCAAACCTAACAATTTTTTGGCATTTCCCATTCATCTTAGAACACTTGGGCTGAAAGCAGATGGGCGCCCCACCCCCGTCTCAGCATGTGTGTATGCATGCACCTGCGCGCACACACACACACACACATACATACACACTCACACTCATAGAGGCGTGGAACAATCCCATTTCACTTAGCTTCTCTCTTTTGATTTCATCTTGTGATGATCTCTTCATTCACTTTATTTCACTTTCTTTGTCCCCTGGAAATTGTATTCATTCACCGCTAAGGCATGATGGACTGAGAACTGGGCATGGAGCTAGAAGGTCCAGGCCTTAGTCCTGATATGTCGCTTTGTAGTTACGTGACTAGACCAGAAAGATCTCAAGATTTGCAGTTGGACTGATTATAAATCCATCAAATCTCTGAGACTCGCCAGCTGCGTGGTTGCAGGCAAATTGCTTAACCACTCGGAATCTCAACATCCTCATCCTCCAAACTGCATTAGTATTACTGGCCTTGCAAGATTGCTGTGAAGTTTAAACAGACAAGTAAAGGGTCAGGCACAGGACCTGGAACTCTATCTTAGTTCCCTTTTCTGCCTTAATCCCTGTCTCTCTGGTTCTCATGATTTTCTTCAGGATAATGACATTTATCTCATAAGATTATTTTGAGGATTAAATGAAAAAATATACCTGAAAGTATTATGAAATACTAACCTATTTTTAATTGACTCATTTGCTTATTCTCTCAATCAACAAAGAGTTCTTATTAAGAATGCAGTGACACCACTGACTACAAAGAAGGCTCCAACATAGAACTTACCCTAAAGAAATGTTCATTCTCCAGAATGAATATTTCTTTACCCTACTCCCCTAGAAAAACATAATTGGAAGCAACAATTAAAAGTGCAGTAGGCCAGGTGCAGTGGCTCACACCTGTAATCCTAGTACTCTGGGAGGCCGAGGTGGGAGGATCGTTTGAGCTCAGGAGCTGAAGACCAGCCTGAGCAAGAGTGAGATACCTGTCTCTACTAAAAATAGAAAGAAATTAGCTGGACAACTAAAAATATATAGAAAAGTTTAGCCAGGCATGGTGGCACATGCCCGTAGTCCCAGCTACTCAGGAGGCTGAGGCAGGAGGATTGCTTGAGCCCAGGAGTTTGAGGTTGCTGTCAGCTAGGCTGATGCCACGGCACTCTAGTCCAGGCAACAGAGTGAGACTCTGTTCCACAAAAAACAAAACAAAACAAAACAAAAGTGTGGCTGGAATGTTTATGAGCTTTAGGTAAAGGAGATACCTTCCAAGTGAGCCATCAGCCAAAGATCCACGAGAGACCCGATATTTGCAAAGACACTTGGCAGGAAGGGAGGAGAGAATGGATATAAGTTCAGGTGGAGGGCCCGGTGTGAGCAAAGTCACAGCAGTGGCAAAGGGTGAGGAAGGTATGAGGAACCTGGACTATATGCTGTGGGGACAATTGGAGGGTCATGGTTGACAAGGTTGCAAAGAGGAGTTGAGACTCATTTATGAAGAAATGTGGACTTTTAATTTTATAAACAGTGGGGGAGCCATCTCTGAGCAGGAGAGTGATGTTGCGTGGGCCGGTTTTCTCCAAGATGAATCTAGCAGTGACGGGGAGGGAGGTTTGTAGTAGGAGTAACAGAGGCCCACCAGGGTCAGCTACGAGAGCTCCAGAGAGACACGAGGCCCTGAAATGGATCAAAGACAATGAGCATGAAGATGGGAAGCTTGGAGGGAAAATATCACAGAGGAATATGGCAGAAATTAAGTGACTGTGCTGGGGAGAGGGGCGGGAGAGCTGATAACGGCTAAAGTGCAGTCCTGACTGCCACTGAGTTCTTGGGCAAGGAGAAAACGCATCAGAGAAATTTCAAGAAAGAGCTTGTTTAGGAAGGAAGACACTACGGCTTGTATGTAAAGATAAGAAGAAAATTAATTGACCAGGATTTCAGGGGTCAGGGAAGGCAGACTAGCCTTTTCATGGGGCAGCGCTTCCCAAGCTAGGTACTACTGACATTTTGAACCAGGTAACTCTTTGTCGTGGGGGCCGTCCTGGGCGCTGTAGGATGCTGAGCAGCACCCTGGCCTCTGCCCACTAGGTGCAAGTAGCACAGCCCCCACGTTGTGATAACCATAAATGTCTCTGCTGGTCAAAGAGGTGGTGCCCGCATGTGCTGCCCTGAGCCGGCCCAACGGTGTCCAGATATAACATCCTGCGACCCTCCTTGTCCTCAGCAAAGCATTATGAAATGCCTGTCATGGCCGGATGAACTCTGGGAAAAGGAGAAAGAGTGGCTTTCCACATGGGGTAGAAGTAGGGTAGGACTGAGGCCAATGGAACCCAGGAGTCAAACTGAAGAGAGGAAGGAGGAAGATAGGCATGATAATTAGAGGCTCGGGGGCCCTTCCAGGACCCAGAGTTGATACTAACTTCTGTCAAGTTTTACCCAAATCTCTGAGGAAAGGAAGGTATTAATAATAACAGCTGGGTGCCTTTTCAAAATCCCCACATTTAAATCAGGTACACAATTCTTAAGCATACAAGTTATTAACTTTTCACCTAACTTTGAGATTAATACTACTACTGGACAATCCTGCTAATGAGAGAATCTCAGCGTCCCCAAGGACGTCGATCCAGCTGTATGTACGTCCTTGGGCAAGTTAGTTAACTTCTCTGAGCTCCATTTCTTCAACTGCAAAATCGAGTTAATAGTTTCCATCCCATAGATGTCTTATGAGGATTAAATAAGACATATGAAATGCCAGCCACATAGTAGGTGTTCAGTTATTGTCTACCTACCTACCCACCTATCTGCCCATCTCTATTTATTTAATTTATGTCTGGAAGAGCAAGAGATTGTATGTAGGTATAGCATCACCAGTGCAGATGTGTGGCTGTTATTGACATTATAATTCTAGAGAATGCTTCTCAAGATGTCTCTTTAGGACATCTGGGACCTTCGAGTAACAGATATGCTGGATCTTAATGATACCCAATGTCTGTATGAAAAGTGGAAAGGTCCATTGAATTAAATCTATTTTCCAGGCTCCAGATGTTTGCCAATGTAGCGTAGAACCTCCATGTAACCATTAGCATTTCCTCCGTTTTCTGGCTGCTTGGTGCCTGAGCTGATATACCAGTACTAGCCTTGTTACAGTCTTGCAAAACAGATTGATCTGACCGCAGAAGTTCCAAGAGCCACTCAAAATGAGCAGGAATTCTGGAACTGCATCTTGGCTTGGCTTTTGCCTCTGTCTGAAAATAAGATCCCTTTGCTAAGCTGGTATTGCTTAAATATCTTCCTTTCCTTAATCAGATGAATATTATTTTCCAAAAGGTCTAAAGGGCAGTAGTCTTTGGTGTCTTGGCCACTTTTAGGGTATTTGGCTAATCGATATCCTAGTTACTAATTAAACACATTTGAGTGGAAATTGGGTAAGTACTGTTAGTTTCAACCATTAGTTAGCTCTTACAGGTCCCAGCCTGTAGACATCTTTTACTTCAATCCCCTGAACAGATAGTTGTATTCCTTCAAGGCAATATAGTGTGGTGGTTTCTGGATGAAATGTTTGCCGTTGCTTTCTTCATCTTGTCTTTGATGACTTGTCAGCCTGGGGTAACTGCACAGGAGAAAGTGAACCAGTAAGTGGGCCATATGTCTCTGCAAAATCTGCACATAGGAATCACCTGCTGGGGAACTGAGACACTTTATGTTTGCAGTGGGCTGTGTTAGGATGGAATGCAACTTCTTTTTATGTTATTATTAATCCAGCAAAGAAGGATGGGAAAGTGAAGAGACTATGTACTTGGGAGTCAGATCAGTCCATGTGTAAATCACAGCTCTAATATTAATATTAGAAGCTGGGTAATCTGGAGAAAATCACTTAATCTCTTTGATCCTCAGTTTCCCTAGCTGTCAAATGAGAATAATAGTGCCTCTTCTATACGAATATTAGTAGTAGAGAATAATAATGCCTCCTCTACATTAGTAGATGAAATAAGATCCTGAAATAAGATATAAAATGTACTTAGCTCATAATAGGCACTTAATAAATGATAGCTCTCTCAAATGATGTTGGACAGTTAACCTCTACTTCCTTTTCTATAAAAGAGAATCATAAGAATACCTGTCTCATAGTGTGTGGGGAGGATAAAATTACCTAATGTATGCAAAATCATTTTGGGAAAAGCAAAGGATCATAGAGATGCTGGGTTATTTCATTCTAAAAATGAGCTTACCTCTGGCTATGGGATAATAGAGGAAAGTGATATTTTCATATGTACATTGCATTCAATCTCCTTGAATTTTCCAACCTGGCTTCATGTTTTTAACACCACAATTTCGAGTATTTTGTGGTACTTAAGCAGCCCCTTATTTCACCTTTAGGAGAGCTTTAAAGCAGTCAGTCCCTGTCTCCCAAACATTAAAGATTTTAAATAGAGTTATTTTATTCAAATTTTCGTTAGATGATGCAATTTTGAATCATTAGTGCTTTTAAATGTTAGAGCAAGAGAGATTTTTTTTTCTTGTTTTGTTTTAAGTAACAGTTCAGAAGGGGGGAAAGCATTTTAATAAGCAGTTAATTTGTAACCTGTATTTAAAGCAAATACAATTTTTGAAAAATCAGAAAATTCATCTCTCATAATTAGAAGATAAAGGCAAGAGAACTGAGGAAATCTCTGCTGAGATACTCTTAATTATAAAAGCTTATCATTATAATCCTTTTTGAAAATGAACAAAGAGTCTTGATGTTTGATGAACTTATCAAACAAGACAGACCAGTGAAGAGGCAAATTTCAAGTCAAGGCAAAAGAGAACCAATTAAATACTTTACAAAGTGCTGAAGTAGGAAATCACAGGGTCTTTATGTCTAATGCCAGGGTGTCTGACACTGGCTTTGAAAATGAAAAACTACATGGCAAAATGACTTTGCTGGGTTCAAATTCTGGCACTGGCATTTAATAGTTGTGTGATCTTGGGCAAGTTATTTGACTTTTCTGACTTCATTTTCCTTACCTGTAAAATGGGAGGAAAGTAAGAGCAAGAATTAAGTGCATGAAAAATACCTAGAAAAAATGCCTAATCCCTAGTAAGCATTCAGTAAAAGCTGTCATCAATGGTATTTCCATTCTCTCTGCCACTTACTCCTTATATAACCTTAAGAAAGTTGTTTCCTTATGAATCTATTTTATTCACCTATAAAATGGGTATAATAATTCCTACCCCACAAAGTTCTGGTGAAATTTTAATAAGATAACTTAAGATAAAATGAGAAAAATATATTAATACAAAAGTTTGCTTATTGAGTTCCCACTATACACCAGGTATTGTGCCCAGCTCTAGGGTATGATGGTGAGCAATATGGTCATGATCTCTGCCTTCCAGAACCCGCAGGCTAGGAGTAGGAATAAAGTGTTGGAAGTTCTATGTTTACAGCACTGTGTTAGCACAGGGCAGGCAGGTCAAGGAAAGCTATCCAGAGAAAATAAACTGAAGTGGGAAGGTTTGGCCGGATGAAGAAAATATGATTAGCACCCTGTGTGAAGGAAATAGCATTATGCAAATACCATAGGAGAGCTTAGCACATGCTAAAAGTTCTGTATGGAATTCTATGTGTATCTGGTACAAGTAGATACTTTCTTGCATTCATGCAATCATTTATTCAATAAATAAATATTCCAGGTATGCTAGGTGCTAGGTAATGACCTAAACAGATAACATCTCTACACTCATGGAATTTGCAGTGTAGTGATAGAGTTAGTAGATATGTAAACAAAAATTTCATTAAAAATTGTGATAAATTCTGTGAAGGAAACAAATGGGGTCCTTTGATATAAGATAGCAAAGCTATCTAAAGTGAGGCTAGTGGGGAGGGTTCTCCATGGAAGTCGCAGCTAAACTGAGAGGTGAAGGATGATAGGGAGAAGCCATGTTAAGAACAAGGGAAAGGAGAGTGATCATATGTGCTAAGACCCTATGGTGGGGAGTGGTTTGTCATGGTCAGGATGACATGTTTAAGATGACATGTTTAGGATGTCATGCTTAAGATACCATGTTTAGGATGGCATGTTTAGGATGACATGTACAGGATGACATGAAGGATGGGGGCAGTGTGAAAGCAGGGAATTGTGCCATGAGCAGATGTCAAAAAGGAGGACACAGGCCAGATCCCAGAGGATATCGGCACCATGATGAGGAATTTGGATTTTATTCTATATGTGGTAAACACAGAAAACATAACAAAAATCCCTTATCAAGGAATGATATTATCTGATTTCTCATCTTAAAAAAAAATCATCCTGGTTGCTGTGCAGAGAATAAGTTAGAGAAAAGTGAAGTGAAAGGTCTTGGCCCACAGGAAGTCGCAATAAGGAGATGAGCTGGTTAAAGGAGAAAATTAAGCATTTAGATGTAGAGCCACTAAGTTCGCCATGCCCAAGAGGCAATTAGTAGAGATATAAAATGAGGCCATTGGATAAACAAAACAGGATTGCAGAGGAGTGGCCTAGGTCAAAGGTCTAAATTTAGGAGGCATTAGCACAGATGCTATATGAAGCCAAGGACATGAATCTTACTTCCTCAAGGGTGAGAAAAGCAGAAAGAGAAAAGAAGTCAGATGAAACTGCATCCTGAGGAATTCTAGATCTTAGAAGAGAAGTCAAAGAGAACTGGTCAGAGGAGGAAGACAGCAAGGAAATACACTTAAGAAGTCCAAAAGACAAAAGTTTTCATGAGGGAAAAAGTGGTTAATAGAGGTGTCTTAGTCCATTTGATGTTGCTCTAAAGGAATACCTGAGGCTGAGTAGTGTATAAAGAAGAGAGGTTTATTTGGCTCATGGTTCTGCAGGCTGTGCAAGTTCCTGGTGAGGATTTTTCTTTTTTTTTTTTTAATTTTTTTTATTTCAGGAAATTATGGGGGTAAAAACATTTTGGTTACATGTTATGACTTTGCCACATCCCAACCAAGATTTCAGATGTCCTCTTTCTCCCCCTACAATGCTCACCACATCCATTAGTTGTGAGTTTACCCACCCACAAACCCCCTACCCCCAAAGAATATTACTACTGTGTGAGCACCTTAGTGTTGATCCGTCAGTGCCAGTTTGATGGTGAGTGCATGTGGTACCTATTCTTCCATTTTTGTGATACTTCACTTCAGAGGATGGGCTCAAGCTCTGTCCAGGAGAATAAAAGAGGTGCCAGATCACCATTGTTTCTTATAATTGAGTAGTATTTCATGGTATACATATACCATATTTTATTAATCCACTCATAGATTGATGGGCACTTGGGTAGTTTTCACATCTTTGCAATTGTGATGCCATAAACATTCAAGTGCAGATGTCTTCATTATAGAATGACTTTTGTTCCTTTGGGCAGATGCCTAATAGTAGTATTGCTGGATCAAATGGTACTTCTACTTGTAGGTCTTTGAGGTATTTCCAAATTCTTTTCCACAGAGGTTGCACTAATTTGCAGTCCCACCAGCAGTGTAAGAGTGTTCCTATCTCTCCATATCCTCGCCAGCATATGTTGCTTTGGGATTTTTTGATACAGGCCAATCATACTGGAGTTAAGTGATATCTCATTGTGGTTTTGATTAAAGATGTTGAGCATTTTTTTATATGTTTGATGGCCATTATTCTGTCTTTTGAAAAGTTTCTGTTCATGTCCTTCACCTATTTATTGATGGGGTTGTATGATTCTTTTCTTGTTGATTTTATTAAGTTCTATATAGATTCTAGTTGCCAGACCTTTATTGGAGGTGTAAAATGCAAATATTTTCTCCCATTCTGTAGGTTGTCTATTTGCTCTAATGATAGTTTTCTTGGCTGTACAAAAGCTTTTTAATTTGATGAGGTCTCATTTATTTATTTTTGTAGCTGCTGTCATTGCTCTGGGGTTCTTCTTCATAAATTCTTTGCCTAGGCCAATGTCTGAAAGAGTCTTCCCTACATTTTCTTCTAGGATTCTTAAGGTTTCATGCCTTAGGACTTTTCTTTTGAATTGACGTATTCACTCTTACCATGTTTTATCCAGCACCTACTACTATATGCCAGGCACTAGTTTAGGCCTGTGGAAATAACAGGGAATGAGAAAGATAAAATCCTTGCTCTCAGCTTTTATAGAGCTTCTTTTCTAGAAGAGAAGTTTGTGTGATCATTTTATATAGTTTAAGTTCTATAAGGAAAATAAATTAATGCTTACACACTTTTGATGGGAATGTAAGTTAGTACAACCTCTGGAAAATAGTATGGGGATTCTGAAAGCACTTAAAGCAGATCTACCATTTATTCGAGCAATCCCACTACTGAGTATCTACCCAAAGGAAAAGAAGTTATTACATCAAAAAGATACCTGCATTCATATGTTTATTTCAGTACAATTCACAATTGCAAAGATATGGAATCAATCTATGTGCTCATAACCAATGAGTGGATAAAAAAATGTGATATATATATATATATATATATATATATATATATATATATATATATATATATACATACATACACACACATGCCATACAAAAGAATGAAGTAATGGCTTTTGTAGCAACTCAAATGGAGCTTGAGGCCATCATCCTAAGTAAAGTAACCCAGGAACAAAAAACCAAATACTGCATGTTCTCACTTATAAG